GCCATCCGTAAACCAGGCCCTCACCTTCTCTTCCTCTGACAGCTGATCATATGGTGCACCCCCCACGCCAGCCCCGAGGCCATAGGTGCACGCTGGGAAGCAGAAGGCGTTATAGCAGGCCTAGGACGCGTGGGCGTCTGGGAGACCTCTTCATGTAACTTACGTGTGCTCTCTGGTCCTGGCTCGATCACACAGGTACCATTTCCGTTTAATGACGGACTGTTGCTGGGCACGTCCAACCTTCCGACTCAGGGGATCAGAGAGAACCCAGCTCATGATGGGCTCAGGTCGCGTGGTGACCTGGGGCCCCGTGGTCAAGCGCTCAGTTCCCACTGAGGCCCAGGAGCAGGTCGATGGCTGTTTTTCAAAGGGAGAGTGGTTGTCTGCAGATGACGGCAAGCCTTGCTCCAAAGTCCTGAGGTCCTCCGCCACACTTTACCCATGGGGCTGCCAGCGACTCCAAGCAGCGACCCTATCGCCACTGACACCTCAGCTACCGCTGGATCCGCTGGATCACACGGCCCCAGTGAGACAGCAGGCGGCACAGCAGCCTGGGCCTGTCGCAGAGCCTTCTCTGCTTCTGGACCCCACTCAGAACTCGCAGCTTTCCGAGTCACTCAGTAAATGCACCAGAGTAACACATATATAGCGGTAAAGAACCAGGAGCTAGGAGCATGTGTGCATATGTGTAGTGCGTGCATGTGTGCGTGGTGTATGTGCATGTATGTTCGCATGCATGTGCATGGTGTGTGCGTGTGTGCATGTGTGTGGTATGTGCATGTATGGTGTGTGCATGTGTGTATGCATGTGTGTGTGCATGTGCATGCACATGTGCATATGTGGATATGTGTGTTGGGGTGGAAAGAATGAACCTACAAGAGGTAGCACAAGGGGTGTCTGCTGATGGGTGGTCCTGTATCCTGACTGCCCTGGAGGTTACATGGGTCTGTCTGTGTGCTAAGTTAATAGAACTGTGAAATGCTCCCCCCAAAAAGGATCAAGCTTATGATATTTTAAGTCCAAAAGAAAAATCCCACAGGAATAAAAGGTATGGGTTTTAAAATAGAAGCTCAAGGTGTAGAATTGTTTCTTCTGGGCTGGGGAATGGATTAGCGGTTTCACGAAGGCTGAGGCATTTTAAAAATGCATGTGCGAGGTGCAGCCTGTGATACCGGCTCGAGATCTGTCTTCACTCAGACTGGGTAATGAGGCCGCATCGGGTCTGGCTCGCTGGCCTCTGCGTCAGGGGCACCTGAGGCCACGCTCTGCGGAAAGGCAGCCGGTGGGTATATGATTAAGGACCGATGGCCTGTGACATTCACACAGTAACAGGGCCCTTTGGGGAAAATGAAAATACGAGAAAATGCCAGAACTTTCCATCCCCTCTAAGCCCCTCCTACCCTTTCGAGGTCAGTTAAATTCTAGCTCCTTCCCCACGTCTTCTTCCAGAGCACTTTTCTATGTCCTAACGCACTCTGTGGAACGAGTCTAACACTTTGGTGTAGGGCTTCTCAGTACTGTAAAGCCTGTGCCTCATTTCCTCTGTGCCATTAAAACGTGCCCACTTTTGTTATTTCTTAAAAATATATTAATTGAATGACTGAGATCAAACCACTAGCGTCAAACTGTATTTCCTTCATTCCTCCAAGATTCTCCTCTCCAACAGCCTCGCTGGGCCCACTTCTCCTGCTGTCTCCATATGCTCATCCCTAGTGGAATGCACAACGACCAGTGTCTGCTAACTTAGGATTTAATATGATCCCCTACGGCCTGACACGGAACCCATTTCCTCGGGTCTTCCTCTGTTGAGGACGGCAGCCCCACACGTCTTTGTACTATGAGGAATGCAACCCGCAGTCAGTACTTGCTAATTGGAGGTCCTGTACCGTTACCCAGCCTATTCTACTGTAGTTTTAACTGCTCTGCTTGGAAGAAAATAATTTTTTTCAAAGGCTATACAATTTTTGCAATAGACGTCTAAAGGGCGCAGAGAAATGTGCTTTTCAGGAATGCTGATCTCCTCTCTGTAATTCCCAGAAAGCTTACATTGCTGCCATTCCATAGCATTTGCACTGCATGCCGACCTGACCCTCAGTGAGGTGCCTGGCCTCAAGCCAGCCCTCAAACTTACCTTGGATTCAACTGTAAGGAAAAGAATGAAACTGGGACTATTTCTAAAATGTTGGATGGGGCTGGGGATTTAGCTCAGCGGCACAGCGCTTGCCTGGCAAGCACAAGGTTGTGAGTTCGATTCCTGGTACCGGAAAAAAAACCAAAAAAATAAAAAGAAAATGTTGGGTATGTATCAACTGTGTCTGAAATAAAGTAAAAACTATTTTCTTTAATATTTGAGGAATGGAACCATATTGTAATCCCTTTATAATACATAGCACCCTTATCGGTAGCACTCATACACATTTTCAGAAATATGCAAAAAATATCAGAATATCTATTGTTAAAGTACAAACTGGGCTGGGGACAAAGCCTACCTGGCAAGCTCAAGGTCCTGAGTTTGATTCCTGGAACCAAAACAAAAAGTACAAATGACTGGTCAAATACCATACATATCTTAAGCAGTTGGTGAATTATTCCCAAGAATTACATGTGCCTGGTTTCCCTAGACAGTCCTAGCCACGGCTAACAAGTACAGACACTTCAAAGCAGCCCAAGTCCCGTACTCCACAGACTTTCAACATCGACTGCCAATCCCAAGTCCCAGAACTATCTTGCCACAAGAATCTCACCCACAACCTGTAAGTCATTTCCCCCACTGCCTGTTTCTCTTCAAATCATTATGCAGTTTGTTTTTTTCCCCTAGAAATGGTTACTAGGCTGAACGGCGAGGAGAGGCTCTCCATGCTGTGTACAGCCAGCAGGGCCACGCGTACCTATCCCCATACTTGTAAGGAGGGGACGAAGGAAGCGGGGAAGTCAGAGGCGGCACTTTCAGGACCACAACTTGAGATCATTCTACAGCCCCCTGAGGAGGGCACATGTGCCTGGGTACGCAGGGGAAAGCAGCCCAGCAGTCTTAGAAGTCATAAAGGGCTGGACACAGTGCTGAGGAGGAAGTATATCAGCCTCTCTCTTCAGTGAAGAAAATAATATGCTCCCCCTCTGGTGGCCAAAATCAGAAATACACTGGCATTTTCCTGGGTTACACCCAAAATATGATTAGTGGGATGTATTAAATTTCTGCTTCATATTTAACCTACACCAAAATAGATTTTAAGAGGCAACTGAGTTTTTTTAAGAATAGTTTTTTATTAAAACCAAAATATCACAGTTCAGGAATATACTTGTACTGATAAACAAAAATAACTTTATTTTATTGGTACATTTTAGACATACAGAATGGTAACGTTCGTCACAGGGCGTTTGTACCTGTACAGGGTACATCTTGCTTCTTTTTTTCCCATTCCCCTCCCCTCACTTCCCTCCTTATTTACAGAAGCTTTGTTTGCACATTTTCCTTCTGCTCTTTTTTCCCTTGTCCCTTTCCTGCCCCCTCCCCGCTCTGCTTTCCCTCCCCATTGGAACATTTTCTTCCCATTTCCCAATACCTACTGCACATTCTGGCCCTTATTTACACTTTCAATGTCTCATACCAGAGAATCCATGTGATATTTGATATGGAAACTGTTTTTTTAAGAAAACAGGTCTACTGTAATATGTAACAGAAAATTAACAAAGGATTAAATACAGTAATTAAGATTTGCTTATGAACATAGTCAATACTTACACTAGTTTCAAAACATAAGAGCTGGAGGCTTTTAGAGTTACAGGAATTACAGTGATAATATAGACTACCTTTTCTACTTAAAACTTCCTGTTAGATAATTAGTAAAAAATTAATTGCTATGTTTTAACCTGTTAAACACAGTATGTTTTAATCTTTTAAGGAAATGAAAAATAAAGTCTGGAGTAATGAAACTGAATAGTAATGAGGGTTTTTTCCTATGCTTCTGATTTTTAGTTTATAAACAGTACGAAGAATTATGAGAAAATCCGATTACATGTGCGTTGAAGTTTCTAATATTTACGGCATGTCTGGTACCACAGGAGGCCTATGCCGGGCAGAACAGTGACAGTTTGGAGCTGGGCTGGGCTGCACGTGCATAAAGCAGTCTCCACACAGCTTGCTGACCAGGAGTGGGCAGGGCCATCCGCCCTCCAGTCTCGGCTGCGGGGGAACCAGGAAAGAAGTCTTGCAGAGGCGACCCTCGCACGGCCACAGGAAGAGGCCTTTTACGTGCGAGAAGGAAGTATGTGTGCAAAGGGCCCGCCGGACCCGGGGCGCTGCGGAAATACACGCCAAGAACCCTGAGGGGCACAGCCAGGGGCGAGAAGGAAGTCTGAGGACTCCGCTGTCCCAGTCGGAGCCACAGCGTCCTGCACTGGGGACGAGGCCTGACTTGCGACATCCCGCCGCACAAGGGAGTCACTGGCGGCTGTGTGAAAGGACCAAGCACAGAGCAGGGGCCAAGGCGGGGCCGGCGGTGTGCTCACGCTCTCCGGGGCACAGGAATAGGGCAGGGCACCCGAGAGTGATCTCGGGAGACAGAGTCGCGTGCGCTCAGCCAGTACGGGGGAAAGGCCGGAGACGCCCGCCACACCGCCGCCACAGGCGGGGCCAGCAGGGGCAGGCACCGGCCCTCCCAGCACGCGGACGCTCGCGCTTTTTAGTTCTCACATTCTTGTTTCATAGACTACTAGATAGTTACTACAAAGTTAATTCTGTTATGTTTTAATCTGTTAAACACGTTATGTTTTAACCTTTTAAAGAAATGAAAAATTAAGTCTGGATTAATGGAAGACTGAGAGACTTTTATTTAGTCTCTCAGCCAGCAGCGCTGGGGCTCAAAGCGAGGCCATGGGCCTGGGAGAGCAGCCTGGTGGACCACCCAGGGAGGGGTGCCTCTGATGCTCAGGAACTGTATTTGGTTAAGGATCCCTAAGACCTGCGAGCCAAGTACTTCAGAACTGGAATTAGGTTTTTCGAGATATTCCAGTACCACAGTATTCAGGTAATTCCTGAAATGTCACGTGCCTATGGGTCCAGAACTGCAGCCAGCTCCTGGCCATTATGTGTTAGACCCCCGTGGGTCTTCATTTTCTTGGAAGAAAGTTTAACTGGAAACAAAATGCCTTGTCTTTACTCCTGACAGAAGTGATACTGTGAAACCTGAGTAAAGGGCAGCAAAGGAACGGCTGGGTTTATCGAAATCTAAGCTCGCCAGTGGAGTGGCCGAGGCTCACACGCTGCTCGTGTCCCTCTCCGGTCTCCGAATTCCAGTGACACCATCACGTCCACTGTCATCAAATCATAAAATGGCCTTTATGATTTGGGGCAAAGATACCTTTATTATATATTTGTACCATCGCAGACAATTTCCCAAAACTCAGTACCTGGTAAAATAGAATACAGGGCTACATCTGTTGGATTTATAAAGAATTTGGCAGTTAACAGTTTCACATTTCATCACTATTTTCTCAGATGCATTATGTGAAGAGTTCAAGCTGCTATATAATGGCCACCCATTTTACCGATATCTAAGTCAAGGGCCCCAGAACCAAATGACATTTAAACCATGTGCCATCTTGTACTGGGTACAAAAATCCTACCTGCATATGGTATTCATATTTCAAAAGCTGACCCGACTGGCCACCATTCTGTTACTGATACACAGTTCCTAATAGTTTAATATTATTTTTCATGCCATGTACTCTTTCATTTAATGCTACAGATTTAATTTCCATTATTTCAAAATACAGTTTATTAAAAGGAGTCCACAGGCAAATAAAAATTTATAAAATGTTTCCACTATTATCATTAGGTTTTGACTTCATTAAATGGCAACTAATTTCTTCAAGTTTTAATTTTTTATGATTGGAAAATTAAATGGCTATTTTTATAGTTCTATTTTTTCTTTTAAGTTGTTATGAGTTAAGATAAAAAAGCATATAGGATTTTGAAGAGTTCAATGAATAGTACTTTTAAAAGGCTTATCTGTGATTTTCTTTTGACTTACTATCATAAACAAAATGTGCATAGGTTTCCAACTAAGTTAATAAGGCCACAGATTAAAAACATGATTTATCCTTTAATCATAAACTATACAACATGTAACTGTAAACGCATATAAATCAGATTATTAATAAGGTACACCAGTTAAATTGAATAAAACATAGTTAATAAATAAGTGACAGACTAAATCTAACACAGCGATCCCAGCGTGAGGACTCCCCTGGAACTGGCTAGGGTACGAGGGAGTACACACAGCGATGCGTCCATTCTTGCTGCTCACTCCGAGGCATGACATGCTGACAAACCTGCACATAAAAACAGGACGTTTTCACTTTGCTTTCATATGCGATGACTGGGCAATTTTCAAGAGCCTTCTCTGAGCCCTGTATAAAGAACACCTGTGGAGCCAGGGCCGGTGGAATGTGCCTAGAGTCCCAGATACTCAGGAGGCTGAGGCGGGAGCTTGGCGTGAGCCTATGGGTTTGAGATCACGGGAGCAGAGCAAGACCCTATCTCAAAATGAAAACAAAAACAAATATCTGTGACGATAAAACTCAGTAATTTTTGTCCTCGGCAGGGACTGGCGCCATGACGTGAGGTCTGACAGGTGCTGCGGGCTGAGCCCGACCCTGATGCGCGGCTGTCCATCAGTGGGGAGACCGCAGGGAACGTGTTTCTCTACGGAGCCCGCAGCACTTCCGAAAATCTCACTTGGAGGAATGCAGAAGGTGATCTCTCGCTCCTCTGGCCACTTCCAGGCAGGTCAGGATTTAAAGACAGGATGGAGGAAGGTAGGCGTGGACAGCTTTTCCCTGTTCTTCCCTAGACCCAGGAGCCAATGCTCCAGCCCTGACTTGCAATCTGGGGCAGACGCAAAAGCCACAGTTCTTCAAACACCAGAGCTATAGCTGCTTCTGGCTCCTGCTTAGTTGTTTATCTTAAACAGCTATATCTTTCTCATATAATCTTAGAACATCTTAGTAACGTGGACAGAAATATTTTGAGTTATTAAGTTCCTATTCCTGTTAACCCTACTTTGTATTTCTCTGTATGGGGTTTGAAAGTGCTTTCATGAACATCGCTTTATTTTTCTCTTTACATTAACCTTGAGTACCTACACTACCAGTACCCTCTCCGTTTTACCCTCAGAGGGTCTCAAACTGGGGGTTAAGTGACTTTCGCATGGTTATTCAACCGTGCTGGCAGAACTGGGCCGGAACCAGAGCCTCTTGTGTCTGGGTAGAGACTGACACAGATATGCATATCACACTTAAGCTAATTTCCCACTTCCCTTCATATCCATATGGTTTTGTTTTGATTTGGTTTTGTTTTGAGATAGGATCTCACTATATAGTTCAGCTCCGGCTGTCCTTGAACTCAAGGCGATCCTTCTGCCTCAGCCTCCTGTGTGCTGGGATTACCACCATATCTACATGTTTATTCGTAGCATTAACAGAAAAAACCTTCTCTCCAGAAAGCAGGCTTTCCTCATTACCATGGCGGACTGTGGCGCCACCTCCACTGCAAATACGTGGAGTCCTCTGCTGCTGATGCAGTTCTCGCTCAGCTCATTGTTGACGTGGATAATCACCTTATCATCTGACTGCAGAAGGAAATTCAGAAGCTGCTAGAACATTATTTGATAAAACAGACATACCTCAGCATGAGCCCCGAAATGATCTTACGGTAATACGGCCCGCTACAAACGTAGACTAATTAGCTCCTCTTTCAACTCCGTGTCCATGACTTTTGCTCACACCCTCATTCCCAGACCATCCCGAGCACTCGGCTTAGTCCATTTCTCTCTCCCGTTCAGAGGACACCACCGTCCAACGAATAGGCTGAAACCCACCTGGGGCTCCTCACCACTCACTCAGCAAGCAGAGATTTATTCGGCATTCCCACGGCAGGCACGTTCTAGGCTCTAGAGACACTAGGATAAAACACGGAACTCCTGACCCAGTGGGCCAGTGCACAGTCTAGGGGAGACAGACAAGGAAGACAGTGGGACGCGCTTCGCTACGTCTGGTAATGGAGGCACGGAGGAGCTGTGGAGACACCGAAGACCAGCGTCAGCTCAGACCGGGGTTTCCGGGAAGACCGTGCGGAAGTGACGCTGAGATAGCAAAGCGCAGCCCCTGGGCTGGACAGGAGGCCGGAGGAGGCAGAACGAAAGCGATGGACAGGAGGAACGTGCGAGGCCAGCACGCCCCTGCTAGGAGCCTGCAGCCACCCCTGCTAACAACCAGGTGTGGCAGCGGGCTCGGCCGCCTGGATCTGCTACGTCACCTTCTGCAAGTCCCTGGGCCTCCCTGCGCTTCCATTCCCTGTGTGCAGGACAGGGACATCCTGTGTGCAGGGTACTGCACTTCCATTCCCTGTGTGCAGGACAGGGACATCCTGTGTGCAGGGTACGCGCATCCCACAGGCATGTGAGAAGCACACGCTCGCAGGGGTGAGCCCTAGGAAGCGAGTGTCATGACCGCGTTGGTGGGGGAAGTTTCTGCACTGTTCCTGAGCTAAAGGAGGAGAGTTGTGAATGACAGATAAGAGCAGAGCAGAGGGGCTGGGCTGAGGTAGTGACTCCCTCCCACTCTTTTCACCCTAGTAAGAGGTGGGGCAGAAAAGGCAACAGGATGCAGCCAGGCTCCACCCTCCAAGGTTTCGAACCCTTTGAAGAAAGATCGAAATTGGCTACCTGTGGACCAAGCTTCTACAGGGAGCCCCAAGTCTGTACCAGGTTTCCAGATAACATCCCCTGCCCAGCACTGCCCACCTCCCTGGTACCCACACTTCATCCCGACCCTGCCAGGGTTCCCTTCCTGGTCACCCTGCCACTAAAGGTTGGCTCTCGCTCAAATCCCACACTCACCCACTTCCCCCGCCACACTCCCCCCGCTGCTCCGGTCCACGCTGACAACAGCTACGAGACACAGAATACAACCTGTGCGTGTACCAACAGCACTGAGCACCTAACGCTCGCTGCTCTCCAGCCTCTCTGGAGAGTACTCATTTTGTCTTTCCAACGAGCCCACAAATTCCCTGAAAGCTGAGACCACGTTTTACACTTCCTGGTGGCCCCGACTGTGCGAGAGACTAAACAAAACCCTTGCACCCGGGCATACTGTCTCTTCACTGACCTTCAAGTACTTAATTTTCACATACTAAAAGGACTCACACCTTTCAAGTCATACGAAAATTATCACGCCCAGGTGATCTAGAAATTGGAAGAATAATTACTCACTATAAGGATTATTAATATGATAGCATACTGAATTACTATGTGAAAACAGAGTCAGAAAGGACAAATCAGTAAGCTTGGTAGCCAGTCAGGACCACCTCAGAACTGATACCTTATTTTCAATGACTGATGTTATCCGGAAGTCCCAACTGTGAGTGTAGATGAGGATATTTTCATAGCCGTCCATGGCTCTGGCCTCGCCCTTGAGGAGGACAGACTGACAAGTGGCCTTCTCAAGCTGCCCCCTGCTCGCCTCCATCCTGACAGCCTTCATCCTTGGCTTGCATCTTTCTGCATGGAGGTCTATGACAAACGGACATGCCTGACCCGGGAGGAAAAGGAAACCTTGTTTAGCCTTCTGGCGGAGTTGAAATAAATCATTTATTATCACTGTGCTTTGAGAAGGTGCACTAAACCTTGTAGCTGTGGTTCCGATACACTTTTAGAGGAGAATTTTAGTATTATGAATTGAGTACTAAAAAGCAAGAGATTCTGCCTCTGGTGGCGTATTAGCTGCTGCGGTTCGGAGAAGGAAAACCACACCCCGTCTCCACTCAGTGGTGCTGCCTGCACACCCTGCGTCCCTCCCCTGCGTTCAGTCCCAACACATTTGTGCGTTTCCTTCTCGGACTGGAAGGCTATAAAAAGAATTCATCAAGAGAGCTAAAGAAATCATTATTTTTGCAACTGAAACTTAATGCATGGATATACCCCAGTGCCCTGAAAAGAACTTAATGTAGCAATTAAACTCACAGTTCCATCTAAAACCCCTAACAGATCTGGCATCTAAAGATTTTTCTGCAACTGGAAGTGAACTTTGCAGTGTCTCCCTCCGGCCCTTTCTGCCCCGCCTCTCGGCCTGGGTCTCCCTGCGCTGCATTCCAGCTACTGATGGTGCAGACCTCCGCACAGGCAGGACTTGGCAAGGGCGCAGTGCTCTCTCCGGGGGCGGCTGGCCTCACACTTCGCTCTCCACAGAGGGTCTGCTCTGCTCCTACCCTCCCTCTCCTCCTGTGGCCTTGGCTTCAGCTTTTGCCTTGTCTGAAAATGGCCAGACTCACGGTCCATGGAATCTACCCTGCGCAGGGCTGGAATTTGGCCTTGTGTCTAGGGGTCCCCAGGGCCTCATACTGTCACAGGTGGGGCTTCTCCAAGGTGGCTAGATCTAGGGTGTGCGAGGCCGGGGTCAAGGGTGCGCGGGCCACGGATTGCTTTAGCTTGCTCTAGGTACGGGTAATAGGAGGCCCGCCCTGGGTGCGGGTGGCACCAACCGAAAGTTTCCTGGGAGGGCTGGAGCGTGAGGCTGCTGCTGCTGCTGCCTTCTGCCTGCCTCGCCTGGACTGTGCCCCTCTGCCCTGCTGCCCTGCCTTGGAGCCTGCAACTATGGGCTGAAGCCTCCACAAACTGTGAGCTAAGTAAACCTCTCTTCCCTTAACTTGGGTGTCCAGTATTTTGTCTCAGCAATGAGAGAAAACTAACGAAGACATTCACCATTGTATCACCAGTGCCTCTTTCACAGAGCAGTTGCACAATAAACATTTGCTGAATGAATGAATAGATTCACACACATCAGTAGTCATTCTTTTGGAGAATGAAAGAGAAAAGATTTAACTTAATGGAGGAGCAACTGTTTACTTTCTTGTGCTGGGCACTAAACCTGGGGCCTTGTGCATGCTTGGCAAGCCGTGTACCACTGAGCGACAGCTGGAGCCCCTGACATTTTTCGGTTGTTCAAGCTCTGACAGTGATGCAGTTACCCTTTGAAGAGAGATGGCAGGGCTGAGGGTGCAGCTCAGAGGTACAGCACGGCCTACACTGCACAATTTAGGCACAGGCCCTGAGTTAATCCCCAGCATTGAGAGACACAGACAGACAGACAGACACAGGCTCAGGCACACAGACAGAATCACTGCGTTAGAAAGCAAAAGCCCCAGGTGTGCAGGTGAACTCTGACACCGGCCAGCTTCACGACTCAGAGAAAGTCACTTAATTCCTGTAAGACTTAGTTTCTTCAGTGAAAAAAATGGAAATAAATAATACACACTTCACCAGGGGTTGTGGTAAGTATCTAATAAGGTGATGTGTGTGAAAATATTTTATGATGTAAAATTCTTTTAAAAAGATCACTGACAATATAATGACTGTGGCATTCTGAAGGTTTAATTTTTTCAGTAGTGAATACATTCTGGTAATATTTTCCCATTTTAGAAGCTTTAGTCAACAAACAGTATCAATACTTAAAAATTCACTGTCAGTAAAACATCTTAAAAGGTACTTGTTAAAATATTTTCTCTATAATTTTTTAACCAGGTGTGGTGGCACACACCTGCAATTCCAGTTACTCAGGAGGCTGAGGCAGGAGGACCACAAGTTGGAGGTGAGCCTGGCCGAGGGAGACCCTGTCTCAAAATGAAAAGACAAAAAGGGCTGGAAGTAGAGTGGTGCAGCACCCCGGGGTTCAACCCCTAGCACTGCAAATAAATGCATCAGTTAAAATTTATCACCACAAAAACGCTGCCCTACACCTTTATTATTCTTCCGTTTATAAGCTTGATCATTTGTTTGCTTATGTTCTTAATCCTACTAACATGGGAACCATGCAACAAGCGAGGGAGTTATTAACTGTGAATCGCTAATTATAAAACCTCTAGCAGTCTGGGAGGAGTAAGGCAGATGAGAAATACCGTAGCAACAGAGTTTAGACTACGGGCTGCTGCTTAGATTCCCACAATGTTTAGCCCTCAGTTACCTGTCAGCCAAGATAAAATGAAGATATGTTATGTAGCTCTTACGCTATAAAGCTCCAAGTAAACTGGGCGTGGCAGCTCGTGCCTGCAATCCCAGCACTTGGGAAGGTGAGGCCTGTTTCAAAAAGAAAAAAATTTCTAAAAATACATATATGTGTATGTCATGAAGTAAATGGTTCTAATGTGAACTCTGAAAGGAATTTATGCCACGAAATTCTTCCTAAAAATAAAGAAGGGGAAAAAGGAAAAGGATATGCCTAAGTTTTGCAACTAGGAAGTGAGGGTGATATGTGTTGAATAAAACTAATATTAGGGGCAAAACCCCTGTAACACAAGCAATTTAGAAGTTTCTTTGCTCTTTGAAAGGGGACCTGCCTTTAGAAATTTATATTGGGACAACCCCCACCCCCCAAAAAAAAACTTATATGGGGAATGTATCATCTAAAATTTTTAAAAACCTGATTAAAAACTTAGTAAGAAAAAAACCGTTTGTGCTGACTGTGGAGGGGAAAAGTAATAAAAGACAAATTGAAAGTATATAGTAAGTTGTAGAACGATTAAAATACAAAGAATATCACTTGTCTTACCTCCATGAGATCACTCAGAAAAAGATTTCTGACAACCCCAAATCCTCTCCAAGCCCTGTAACTGAGAATTCGCTTACTCTCTGCAACACAATACCCGGAATCTGCTTCCCGACAAGGCTTCGCACAGTTCCTCCACGTGACCATGTACACAATAAAGACTTACATTCTCTAGAATTCCAGAAACCGCCAAAGAAATTGCCACAGTTCCCAACCCCCCGTGGGTGACGACTCCACAGACATTCCCAAACCACTTGGAATGAAGGTCGTAAGATCACAGACTGGCTCCTCGCCCACCAGAACCGTGTTTTCGTGAACACGGCAGTGTGAGGCTGTGCTCAGGCACCTTACCCTAGTGCCCTTGAACATGTCGAGTAACGCACACAGCCCGCGACCTGGGGGCAAGCTAGGTGATTTCCAAACCACCTGGAATGCAAGCTGGGTAATTCACGAAGCCTTGGATTCTCTTCTGACGCAGGGCAAGCCTGCACCAATGCTAATACTTCCCATTGCACCTGGGGTAACACTGCAACACTCCGCAGTAATGAAGAGGTGATTACAAAGGTGAACTTGAGGCACCTTGGGACTTGTTTTCTTGGCCACACTGGGAAAATCTGGGGTAGCCATTCCGGAGATCCTGCCTGTCACTTCTTACAACACTTACACTGCTTGCTTCAGGGTATTCAAACCCTGATGTCCAGAGTTCTAAGTCACTGCCCAACAGATGATTTCATAGAATTCACAGATTAAAAACAGGATGACATCACAGTCAGTGCACGCTGAAATCAGCAGAAAGGCAGCTCGTTAAAATACAACACTGCGTCCTCATCCTCCTTATTGGATCTGGCACCATGTGGCTTCTGGATTCTCCCAAAGTCAGAATGACCAGGAAAGAAAACATTTGAATCGATTCAGGACATAGTGGCAGCCAGGACAGCGCAGCTAAAGACCCTCAGGAGAGAGGACTCCAGAGCTGCTGCAGGAAGTGGCTGGGAGAGTGGGACGAGTGTGTGTGGAGCCAGGGAGAGGACTCTGAGGGGGGTGCAGAGCAATGTGTTTTTTACTATAAATTGTTTTAAAATTTAACTATTCACCATATAAATTGGACTTCAGCAACCCACATAGCCATTACCAATGAAAGCATGTATTTTTTAACTTCCGAATTTTTCCTGCATATAATATGCTCAAACTGTCTTGTATCTGAATTATGTAAATGTTGGCAGTAACTAAATTTCAGGTAAGAATAGGAACTTGAATAGGTAGCAGAAACATGTTGTTGCACCCAGGACTGACTCACATAGGACCAAAATTCAAGGATCCTAGCGTCCAATTCAGAAGTTACACACTGGGGAAACGTCCGAGAGGCAGAACATCAGGAGCACTATGCGCACCGCACACCCTCACTAGCACACTACCTCTGTCAGCTCCAGAGCTCTGCTGTAGCCCATGGAGTGCAGCGTCACCCAGAGGTCCCGGGGGTCTCCTTCCCGGTCGTTGGCTTCCATTAGGTGCAAGTCCATAAATCCTTGTCTGGTCAGTTCATTCTTCTTCATATCAAAATTCTCTGTTAAAATAAGCCAGTTTCTTCTTTAGATACTTTAGACATTCAGACATGGGACACAATGCCGGTGGCACTTATTATTCATTCATACGTGCTGGTCTCAGAGACGGCCCGCCCGCCTGCGCAGCTTCCCACAGCTCGCCGCAGGCTCCGGCAGTGCACCTGAGCTTGTCCAACAAATCCTTTCTGAAAACTTAGTTTTTCAGCAAATTCTGAAGTTATAAATAGTGCAAGTATATTCCGAAATTAGGGAAAATTATATTTTTTCTGGGTAAATTTCAAACTGCCTACTCATTTAGAACTTACACTGAGACTTCAAAACCTAAAATGTTTCATATACATAAAACCCAGTAGAACTTAGATGAATTTGATGTTGTATCCCCCAAACTACTGGAGTTTCCAAAAGGGAGATACTGAGAGTGCCAGACAGAAGGAGACTGCTAGATCCCTGATTCTTCCAATTCTAACCGAACTGTGCCTCGGTCCTTGGAAGGCTGTTAGGTAACGGGGAACTCTATTTTCCTTGTTTAAGTACCCCCATTTTAACATTCATTCCGTGAATAAAACTAAATTCACCAGGAATGCTGTATCTAGTAATTCTTAATTTGCGTATAACATGTCTATTTGTCTTCTATGTTATATTTGTATCAGAATGATTATAGATAATCAACTGCCATTTTATGGATTATATCTTAGTAAGTGTCCTATAACAAGGATTTGATTTCCTAAACTCCATCTAATATGCTCAAGAGAAACCGGTGTTCTTTGCTTTCTTTTCTTTTCTTGTGTTTTTGAGACAAGGTCTCACTATATAGCCCAGGCCAGTCTCAAACTCACGGCAGTGCTCCTGCCTCTGCCTCCTGAGTCTAACTGACTTTTAAAACTTGAAATTCTTCATGCTCATTAATTTTTAAAATTTGTTTCTTTTAAAGAAAAAAAAAAAACTCCCCCCCAAAAAATTCCAAAACAATATGACAGGAGGGTAAACACGGTTAATGCACTATGTATTGTTATCTTTAAATTAGTTACTCAGAGTACTAGATACCAGCATTTTATTGTCCAAACAATATTAGCACAAACCTTTTTCAGTGAACTAAGAGAAATTAGTAGTATAACCATCTTTACTATCTTTTATACATATATGTTTTTTACGTCTTGCTTTTCCTTTCCTTCCTTTCTCCATTCCCCCAACCCAGTTCCTCCTTCCTCTTGAAGTTTCTTCCATTTCACAATATCTATTGTATGTTTTGGATCTTATCTACTTTTTCAGCTCTCACACGGGAGACAGTACACTGTCTGCACATGTTCGGCTGGCTTATCTCACATATGACTGTGGTCTCCGGTTGCACCCATCTACCTATGAAAGGCTCGAGTCCACCCTCCTTCACACAGGCTCACTAGCTTTTCAAAGCTGATCAGCACCTGACATGAGACGTACTATGAGGCGACGGCATCAGAGGTGCTGTTGAGGACCTGACAAGCGACCCAGGGAGCAGGGTGAGGAGCCCAGAGGTGAGCTCGTGGCTGGCCGGGAAGGGGCCTTGCGAGGCTGGGGTTGAGCCCCAGCACCCCGTACGTGAGTAAAGAGACCCACCCTTCACCCCTTTCACAAAATCAACCCCAAATGGTCAGAGCGCAGACGCAGAACACAACACTGTGAAACTGTCAGGGGATAACGTAGGAGGCAATCCTCGCAGCCTTGGGTTTGATGAGGCTTAGAGACAGCGTCACAAACTTGCAAACCAAAAGCGCACTCCTGGAAGGGAGACTCCCGAGTGGGACTCCACTGCAATGAGAAATGTCTGCTCTGGAAGGGCGCTGTGGAACAGATGGAAACACAGCTGCGGGCTGGGAGAAAACCCGCATCTCATACATGGCTGTATTCACGGTGCCCAGAGAGCTTGAAAAGCACAGCAGTAAGAGAACAAACGCCCCAGACAAACAGGCAGAGACCTGGTCAGACCCTCTGCCAAGGAAGAAAGCGGCAGAGTGATGTGAGATTACAGGGTGTGGTCCCCAGGCGGCAAGACGGCGCTCACCGCATGCATCGTACCTGACTGCACAGTTTAAAGTCCATTACATTATGGAAGCTTTCTGTTAAAAGGAAACACACTAGCAAACCCCCTATAGTAAGGAGAGGGTATCTCTCGCCTCCTAGGATTAAGTGGCTCCTATTTTCTCTGACCTTGGGTATTACCCCTCTGGAGAGTCATACAAAAGGAAGTTCCAAGAAAGTCAGTGTTCACAGTTCTGGGATCTTATGAACAACGCTACTTTGGAACTGTCCTGAGTACTACAATCCTACTCCACGGAGAAGGCTGGCTCCCTACTTGTTAGGAATAAAGAGACACCACCCACTTCTCAACACCCGCGAGGAGGAAGGGGTGCGCCCACCTCTGCAGAGAAGCCACGCGTCCTCGTCACACTTCTCACCGCTTGTTCTCAGCTCGAAGAAATTGTATTCTTCAAGGCTAAGGAGGCCGTTTCCGTCCAAGTCGATCACTTCGAATATGTCTGAGAGAGCGGCCCTAAAATCATAAAAACAGAAAACCATTTCTTGTCTTTCAGACAACTGGACTGAAGGTTTTTATGGTGACAGATCTCAAGGGCTGTAGCACTGTGGCATGAAGCCATTTTTATGAACTACTATGTATCCCAGCAGTTGCTCGCCTAGTATTAAATCCATGGGCTCCTAAAGCAGTGCTAGGCTCCCAGCTCCAGGAGGAGCGCAGAGCAGGCCACCGTCTCCGACCTGCTTCCACTTTCTCTCTGCCCGCAGCCAGACCTTCCCGTGCGTCTGGGCTCGGTGCTTGGGATTTGGATTTAGCAGCTGTCCGAGCCCGCTGTGCAGAGCCGGTTCTATGCTCCAGGCGGGCTGGTGAGGCGACAGACAGCAGCTCAGCTGTCTTGTGAGCGTGGAACCGCAGTGGGGGCGGCTTTCCGATGCTCCGGTACGTCAGGGGGCACAGAATGACTTCTGATGGCAGGGTATGGCTCTGTGCCACGTCCGTTCTCTTGCATGCCTACTCTGTGGTGAGAACATTTAAAGCGCACTCTTCTTCCTCCAGTGATTTTCTGGTTTCCAGGACCCTGCGTTAACTGCAGCCACCACCTGCAGCCACCGCGTTACGCAGTGGACACCCTGAGCTTCTCCTTGCCTCACTGAAAAGCGCCCTCCAGGCCTCCCCGCCACGGGAACGCTAGGTGCCGCGCTCCTCTCTGCGTCTGCAGCTTGACCTGTTCAGTCCCTGCGCCCGGCGGCCCAGGTCTGTGTCTGGGCAGCCCTCCTCCTGTGGGCACAGGCCAGGAAGGGAGTCGGTGCGGCACATGCCCAGCAGGGCTCTGGCTCCTGCTCGGCAAACAGACTCACCTAAATGCTTGCGTGAGAAACAACTCCCCGGTTTCGTCTCTGCAGACAAGCTGGGCTTCCTCTGTTACTGGTTTTCTCTCTCTCCTCAGCCGACAGCCCGTGGTGGAAGGAATTAGCCAGTAAACTCCGGGCCCCAGTTCACCAGTCCACCCAAACACCTTTCCTCGAGAGGGCCAGACAAAGCAGAGACAACCCCAAGTCATAAACACTGGCAGTCTTTCTCCCGAAAGGGAAGCATGACAAATCATTTTTTTTGTTGTTTTGTTTTGTTTTTCCGGTACCGAGAATCAAACTCACAACCTTGTACTTGCCAGGCAGGCGCTGTGCCTCTGAGCTAAATCCCCAAACCCCCCTCCCCTTTTTTTTTGGTTTGACAAATCTCCATAAAGTCAACATTCACCAATTTTATTATAGTTCTGCCAGACTTTTACAGGCTTCGAATCCTTTTTCTCAGTAGTAAGCCCAGTCTAAGACCATTAGATGTAGTTCTTTATATTTTTTAAAGTTGCCTCAGCCAGGCATGATTGCACCTGGGAGGCTGAGGGAGAAAGATCTCAAGTTCAAGTCCAGCCTGGGAAACTTAGCAATGTACACCCTAAAAAATAGTAAAAAAAAAAAATTTTTTTTAAGGGCTGGGAATGTAACTCAGTGCAAAGGCCCTGGGTACCTGACTACAGAGAGGAAAAAAAAAAACAAAAAAACCTGCTTAAAACTATAGTAAGATTATATATGTTCTAAATCTCTCCCAATAATCCTCAAAAATATCTGTGATATTCCTTTAGAAAAGTAATATTCCATGTTAATAACATTATAGGTTACAGTTTTCTACTAGGATTGAAATATAAATATATTATTTGTAACTCAGATTTCAATGACACAAAGAAAAAATTAAGTATATTTTTAAGGGGAAGGGAATGGGACCAAAAAAAGATGTGTTTTGTATGTGTACAAACTGCTCATGATGAATATGATCATTATGTACTGCAAACATGGACTAATAAAAAGAAATAAAAAAATGTTGCAGTATTATAGAAAAATATATACTTTTTAAGAGTTCATTATTTGTAAGAATTAAACCTATCTGCAAGAGCCCAATTATGTGCACTGGAATTTTACTTATATAATATATTATTTATTTAATATGGACTATAAAGCAAGATGCAGAATGCCAGGTAACCCTGCTATACACGAAAGTCTGCTTCCAATGAAGCGTTAGATACTTACAATGAGTGTCGGAACACTTGTACAGGAAAACATTTCATTCTCCTGTTCTGTAAAGACAGCAAGAGGTATTCCACTATGTGGCTACCAGGAGCTTGCTGGAGCCCAAACTATGCATATAAAAACAAGGGGTTGTCTGTCAAATCTCTTAAGTCTACTTATTTTCTAGATGAATCTGATAGCTAATGAGCTTCCTGTCCTTCTGCATGGACTAGCTGGAGGGACTAGCTGGAGGGAACTGTCGTGTTCTGTGTCCAAACATGCCCTGCAAAACCCAGGTACACTGGAGGTCATCCTAGAAATTCATGACCAGAGTCAAATTGCTCACTGGAATTCTGGGTATAGCAGTGCGTTCCCCTTATGACTCAGGCAAACCCTAATCATCCTAAGGTCACCTATCCTATTCTGACACCAGGAGAAACCCAACGAAACTGAAGGTCACTCTGAAGGTGACACATTTCCCCGCTCAACCCTCTGCAAACCATTGTCTTCTAGACTGGCCAGATGTAGATGGACACTCAGGAGTATGTACCACGCCCATCCTGTGACTCCTAGCATGTGTGATCTCATGAATCTCCTGGCTTCCCTCCTACAGCCTTGACTGGCTCTGGGGACAGCAAAGGGGAAGTTTTCATGGGCACAAAACTCTTCTTAAAGAAAATAATTGTGAAACTAAAAATATGAAGAAAAAATCCTTTGTAAATGTGACATATAACAGCCAAACAAAAGCCCAGATAGTAGAGGCAAACAGGGTCTTAAACTTTCTTACAGCTTTGCTATGTACTTTTTTTCACTCATTCAATCTCATGAGAAAGTAATTTTACCTAAAACAAAATGGGAAAAGCTATTGTTTTAGATAATGCCTTATGCTGAACTTAACTCTGCAGTCAGCTCTGAAGAAGAGCTAGTCACAGCATTAACATCTGCAGTCATTCCTTTCTTGCCTATAACTATTCTTGTCTGACAGAAAGCCTACAATAAAGACCTTCGTACAACCCTCCAGCAGGGAAATGTCTGTCCGATTTGGGCCTACATAAACATTAAACATGACATTGCAGGGAGACTTAAATAGTATTATTTTGGTTGTTGTGTAGTGGGTGCATGTTGTAGTCCTCATAAAATAAACAGCCACATTTATGTATTTGCTTCACATATTTGGTCTCTGAGTAAATGTATAATTAGAAAGGATCAGAACAACCCCAAGGGCAACATATAAAAACATTTAAAAGCATTTCTTCATATCAGTCTGTTTTTGAACCCTATAATGTGAGCCAAGCCAGAGGATAGTAATCTTGAAGTTTTCCTGTTTAGCAGTGTGAGTAATTCATTCTTTTTTTTGTACCAGAAATCAAACTCAGGACCTTGCACTTGCCCTGCAGGTGCTATGCCACTGAGCTATATCTCTGGCCTAGCAGTGTAAGACAAACATCTAGAGTAACTTCTCGGAAGTCTGGAATTGCTCGTATGTAGGGGGAATCAGTTGGTATCCGTCTCTTTTACTGAGTATAAAAAACTGTTCACATGTGAGGTAGCAGAGCCTTTAGAGATAAAGAAAGTAAAATACAATGTCAGGCAACTTCTGAGTTGCAAAGCCAAGGTTGGCAATCAATCCCCGTCCTTAATGGATTTCAGCAAGCAAGAAAATATTTCACAATTAATAAAACATGTATAAGATCTACAGATTTAAGTACTATATTTACCTCAACTGGAAGGAAGAATATAAGAGTTTGAAAATAGACGAAAACAAAAAGAAAAATAATTATCTTTTCCTAACTATAGTTTGGGGAATTACAGTTGAGTTGATGCTGTATTTTAAAATTAAATATTAGAAAATGAATATACTTCTCTGTTTCGTAGTTCGGTAAAACATATGAGCTGCAGATTTGCTTGATTCTCATTTTCCTTAAGAATATATAAGGCAGTATCAACCGATAACCAAGGGGATGCTTTTCCTATAAACAAACAGAAAACAAACCTAAATACTTGAAAAGAAGCAGTTACTACTTTCTCTTCACTAGTTAAATAAAAGTTAATTTTTCCTTCCTTGGTTTTTAAAAGAAATACACACCCTATTTTTACATAGTAACATCTGGATATTTGCAATAAGCCATCGCCTGCACACAGTGACCACATGAGACAGATTCTTTCTGCTCACTTTCTCAAACTCTGAACTCTTCCAAAGCTGAAGTTCGGGGCAAGTGAACAGCCTGAAATCCAAGGAGGTGGAGACCTCGCACGAGAGGAGCTGGCAGCGCGGACTGGTCTCCCTCGGCATCTGGGGAGACATGGTGCGCCCGCAAGCCCAGGCCCATCTCCAGGGCAACCCTGCTCTACTCTGAACGGCGTCCTGCCAAGCCAAGCCCGCTGGATATCCCACCGTCATTTCTACTCCCAGAAACGGACTCCTGACCTCCGCCGGCCCCAGCTACACTCATCTGGCTCGGTCCAAGTATCTGGGAATCTTCCACTCTTTCCCTCCCTGTCAAAACCAACGCTCGGAATCTGTGGTTCTACTTTGCAAATGCGTCCACAGTCTCCTCCCTCTCTCCCAGTGCACCGCTAGAGCCGTGGCCTGCCCCAGAATCTGCCACAGCATCCAGGGTGCACCCTGCCCTCTCCTGAGTAACCTCGAGGCCGGGTCTCACCTGCTCACCCCGACTGCTCCAGCAAAGACGGGGATCCTGTCCAGGCCGTGAAGACCCTGACCATGGAGATCTAGAGGCCAGCAGATCTGCCCAGCCTCCCACTCAAAGCGCTTCCAAGCGTGCAGCCAGGCACCTCCCTCCATGGCCAAGGAAAAGACGTGGAACCCTGGCAGCAGAGCCTCTCTTGGCCGGCCAGGGCCGAGGTCACAGGCCGGCGTCCGGGGGTGGTAGGGGACCTAGCTCAGGCACTGTGCCTGGCAGGCACGGAGGGGCAGAACCACAGGGAGGGGGAAGGCGGAGGATTTTCAGCAACTGAAAGACAACAGCCACTGATGTGAGAAGCCCAGAGAACCCCAGGGAGGATGGAAACCACAACAACATGCCCACCAACACAGCAGCATCAGCAACAAGAACAACACACCTGAGACACATTCAAACTGCTCAGAAATCCGAAGGAAAGAGGGAACCTTGGCTCCCTGTGACAATAGGACAATTTTGGGGAGATTCTTTGGGGGAAAGCCCCAGCATCGCTGTAGCAGCAGCTCTCTCCCAGGCCCTGTCCCGCTGTCCCCCGCCTCCTGGAGAGGAAGCAGCCACGGCTGGCGGCTGGCCCCTGACCTCTGCACTGGGACCCTGTGCTCTCCCTCTGAAGGCCAAGTCTGCTCCCAACCCTAGGGACCTGGACTTCTGCCAACATCAGGAAGCATCAGAAGCCGGCCGTGCCCACTCAGGCCCACACTTCAGGACACTCCACCCCGCCAGGGGAACAGGTACAGGTAGGGGGCCGGAGGACAGGAGCTGCTTGGGTCAGGAACAAGCTGTCCCGCAAGGACAGAAGGACAGCCACCCTGGCCCAGGGGGGAAGGGCCGGCAGCCGCACACCCGGGAGGGACAGATCGCCGTTTCAAGGCATGCTTTGGGGGTGGTTGCTCTGCAGCAGCTGATAACCGATACATCCCTTGCAAAGCCTGTTTATGCCACCCTCTTAGGGAAAGGAATCCTAACAACCCCTTGTGAGCAGAAAGCCGCCCCTCCTGGACTCACAGCCCTTCCCCTTGCTTCTTCCTGTAGCACTAGGACTTTCTAATATACCATACCTTTTACCCCTTGTTACGTTGATTCTTGAATGTTTCCTCTACTGAAATAACTTCCACGTATTGTTGTCCTTTGGTACTGACATATCCAAAATGCCTAAATTGACCTTTGGTTTATAAGACTCTCTGGTAGTGCCCAATAAATGAGGAAGGAATCCTAGTCATACGAATACAGAGAATAGCACTGTATTTGCACAGTTATCTTGGTTCCTTTCTCCGAAAAATGACTCCTGTAGTCATTAAGAGCATCAGTTACCAAAGGGTGTAAGTATCCTATTAGATATGCTGTGAGAAACTTCAAAACCTCCACACTGGGAGTGAGGGAGAATCCTCTAGCAAGAAAGTGTTTATATTTAAACCTTATAAAAGGGAAAATAAAGATTGACTTAGAACAACCAACATTAAAAGGCTACCTAGGAAAAGACCGTTACCGACATCTTTCACATTCAGGAGAGGAGGAAGGTATTCATTTTTATCTAAAAAAGAACATTACCATGAATGCAAAGATTATTGATAAAGATTGCTCAGTCATCGACATGGACTCGGGGTATTAAAATGTACTTGCAATTTCACATCCTAAATTGTGCTACTGTAGAATTTCTTTTACATAAATTATATTTTAAAAATAGATAAATGGAGAAAGCTAAGACAATTAGCAAACAAAACATTTTGTTTTTGCTTTTAGTGAAACATGCTTTGAAAGAACACGGAAAGCAAATGACTTGCTTTGTGTGACTTGACACCAGGCAATATATAAACCTGTTGAAACAAAGCCGTATGTTTCTTCTTTGGGCAGGCTGTTTTCTTCACTAACTAGGACTATCAAACACAGAAGTATTTTCAAAGAGAGTACAAACTGATATTCAAAACACAGAAAATCCAAACTTGCCTTCGACTTGACTCAGGTTTAGCGGTTTAATTGTGAGGTGGACCATGGAGCTCTGAGCAATGTGCATCCGGTACTGGTGGCTGACGGTCTCGCCGTCGTCCTCCAGGAAGAAGCAGCCTCGGGACTGCACGCATGGCCAGTCCTGGGAGGGAGGAGGGGGGCTTTCAGACAGTTTTCACTAAATGTCTCCAGCGCGCAGGGTAACGAGGAAAAACCGAGGCGGGTGTGAAAGAAATGGAGTCCCTGCCCTCCGGGAATGTGCAACGCAGGAGGTAAAAAAATAGCCATGGTGCTCATCAATTATACACAGCAGCGATGTGTTAATTACAAAACAATAATATCTGCAAAACACCATGACCCAGGTTGACCCAGTGCCTGGTATACTGCACATGCCCAGCCACCTGTACTGTCTGACTGGCAGGACAGGCTAATGTCAGCTGATGGGCCCTGGGTGAGCTCTAGCATGAAGATCAGTATCACTTAGTAATGAAAGGTCAAGGGAATACACAGTGGGGAGTAAGGCAGAAGAATGGAGCTCGTGGAGCGGGAGAAGAGCAGAAGCCCAGTGATGAGCATCTACTGTGACCATCTGGGTGAGACCAGTGTGAGGGGCATGGGCAGAATCAAGGAAGGAACGAGAGGAAAGGCGGTACGACCCTGTGCAGGAGGATACAGCATACGGCACCCAACGCAACAGTCTTAAGCTGAAGCAACTGGAAGCACGCTGAATAAAAGTTTCAGAGCTACAGAAATATGCTGACAAATAAAAAGGTCAGTGTGGAGAAAGAACTTTCATTAACGGCTCCACTATTTCTTGAGCTGGCCAGATCCCTTCTCCTGGTCTGGACCTGTATGTCTACACAGGATCTTAGAACTAAAATCAGGTAAAACTTGAAAACAGCACATTGGCAGAAAGTAAAGGGTTTTTACTGAACTTAAGAGAAGCTGTGCTATTACCACAGATGTGTACAAAAACGTTTCTCACTGTATCGTTAGTAGGCGTGGCTACCTGAAATGTAAGGTGTATTTCTGTTCTAGCCCTGGTGACTTCCAAAAGTAGACCAAAGCTTTGAAGTGCCTTTATAAAAAAGGATTCTGAGTAACTCTCTGTAAGAACATTTATGTATTAGATATTAAGCTTAAGGCTTTAATAATATTGAAAATTACTCAAGAGATATACTATATATTAGTCCTATAATAATAACATCACAAATATTTTTAATGCATAAAAAGACTTACATGTACTTTTTAAAAGGGTAAATTACCCTAATATATACTTACATATCATTTTTCTATTAAGTCATAATTATTTTAATACATTTAAAATTAGAAATGTGAAACAGAAGAAAATCCCTATAATTCTACCACCCTACTCTGATTTTTATATACTCCTTTCTAATACTGACCTTATAAAAGAGCCTATTTTTTTGCATTCTACTAAGTATTTCATGTTTCATTTTTAAAATTTAATCTTACATCTAAAACATTCTGCTGTTGAAAAAGAACAAAGTTAGAGCCAGGCATGGCAGAAAACACCTGTAATCCCAGCACTCTGGGAGGCTGAGGCAGAAGGATCCCAAGTTCAAGCCCAGGCTTGATAACCTAGTAACTTAGTGAGATCCTGTCTCAAAACAAAAAAATAAAAGGGAGGGCGGCTGAGGATGCAGCTCAGTATAAAGGTCCTGGTTTTGATTCCACAGTCAGGAGTGGTAGGGGATGATTTCTGGATTAAGATGTGGATACACAAAACACTCAGTGTAATGTGCATTGCTGGTCACTTGAGAGATGCAAATTAAAACACCACACAGGTTCTATCTCATCCTGAAAAGAGTGGCTATTATTAAGAAATCAACCAATAACGAATGCTGGTGGGGCTGTGAGGAGAAAGGAGCCCTTCACTGCTGGTGGAAGTGTAGACGGCACAACCACTGTGGAAATCAGTGTGGAGAGTCCTCAAAAAACTAAGACTACAGGTTTCATTTGACCCAGGCCTTTCCTCCTTGGTATCGTCCCAAAAGAATTAGAAGCATCACACCACGGTGATATACACACATCTATGTTTATAGTGGCACAGTTTGTAACAGCCGAATCTTGGAAACAACCCAAGTGCCCATAAACTGGTGAATGGATAAAGAAGATGTGGTTTTTTATACAATGGAGTACTACCCTGTCATAAAGAAGGATATGCTCGAGACATTTCCAAGAAAATGGGTGCACCTTGAGTCCATACTCTAAGTGAAATAAACTGGACACACATATGTAAATACTGCATTGTTTCTCTGGTATGAAAAATCAAAAGCACATATGAGAACCAAAATGTGTAATTGGTATTGTGAAATAAGAAGAAAATGTTCAAATGAGGAGGTGAATAAGGGAGAGGCAAGAGGGAAAGGAAAGAAGGGAAAAGTAAAACTGAGAGAAGAAAGAAGACATGGAAACAAAGCTTTATAAATGGGGAGGGGAGGAGTAGCTGAAGGGAAGGTAGGGAAAGGAGGAAAAAAACAAGTTATATCACGTGCAGGTATGAAATCTCTGTGAAGAATGTGATCATTATGTGTATCTAGAATGTACCAATGAGGTCTAATTGAAAAAATAAAAAATAAAACATTCTGTATATACGGTATCCTGCCAGTTTTATACACCGCAGGCAATGATAGCGAAAACGGCATGGTAGCAGTTTTTGTACTGCTTTGAATTTCTCTGATCACCACTCGTAAGACTGTCCCTTCCTGCCATGTTATGGCTTTTGTTTCCTTTTGTGTGAATGCACTGCCAAATCATCTCTTTTTTTCTACTGTATTACAGCCTTGGCATTTTTCTTACATATTTTAGTAAATTCATTTGACTATTTTAGGTATCACCCACCCCCACCGTTATGGTTTGTGTCTAGATGTGCCCCCAAAGCCTCATGCAGTGCGGGCGGGGCTTATCAGAGGTGGCTGAATCTAGAGTTTGTGACTGACTCACGGTCCAATGCTCGGATTAAGGGTGTGCGTGCTACACTTGCCCTGGGGCGGGTGGCCTGCTTACAATTTAAGGGACAGAAAGAGGCCTGTCCCTTTTCTCTTCCTTGTTGCTCTTGCTGTCTTCTGCCACTATGAACTGTTGCCCTCTGCCATGCCACCCTGTCGTGGAACCAGCGATAATGGACTGAAACATCCAGACTGTGAGCCAAATGAACCTTGTTGCTCCCTTAACTTTGGGTGTTGTGTAGTTTGTCTCAGCAGTGACAGAAAAGTAACCAAGACACTGACCCTTTTTGTATGCTTTGATGTATGTATTGTCTCCATTTATCTTACTTTTATTTTTCAACTTGTGTAAGCTTTTCATTTTTATTTTTTATCTTTTTTTTGAGACAAGGTCTCACTGTGTACTCCAGATTGGCCTTACACTCATAGCAAGCCTCTTGCCACAGCCTCCTGAGTGCTGGGATTACAGGTGTGCACCATCCTACCTGGCAAATTTGGGGGTACATCCTCTTTGGGGTACCATATTCTCTATCCTGACTTTTGCTCTACCATTGCCCCTACATCCACTACTCTCCCTAGGCCTATCCCTAACCTAGTCCTAACTTGGCCCTAACTTAGTACTGACCCTAACCTAATATCCTGTCCTAGGAGTTGAACCTACAACCCTATGACCTGCACTATGGCCTGCCTAACCAGTAGGTCACTGAGGCTGCTTCTTTTTTGAGACAAGATCTTGCTTTGTAGCCCAGGCTGGTCTCCAACTTGCAACAATCCTCCTGCCTCAGCCTCCCCAGTGTGGGATTACAGGCATGTGCCACCATGCCCAGCTTTTTTGTTTATTAAAATGACTAATTTATATATATCCCATAGAGACTCATAGGGAAGTTGTTGAAATAGATATATAGTGATGTGTTCCTGTCATTGACTATATATTTAAGAGGGTTAATCCCAATTATTTAAGGTTGGGGGCTGGGGATTTAGCTCAGGCGCACAGCGCCTGCCTGGCAAGCGCAAGGTCGTGAGTTTGATTCCCGGTACCGGAAAAAAACCAATTATTTAAGGTCACATTTTAATTTCTCAGAATTAAAAATATACATATCTTTTATACCCTAACGGTGTGACTGCACATGTGATAATGACCGACTGAAAGTTTGAACAGTAGTTCAACAGTAATGATACAATCTTAAAACATTTAAATTCACTTTAAGAAAAAATCTGTAAAGAAAAGATAGCAAGGCATAGCGGTGCACCCCTGTAATCCCAGCACTCAGAGGAGGCTGAAGCATGTGCACTGCCATTGAGTCCGGCCGGCCTGGACTACATAGGGAGGCCCTGTCTAAACAAACAGAGAAAACCAGGTACCCAGAGGTTATATAGACCAGTTTTATGAGGAGTTTTTCCCGGGCCAGGGATATAGCTCAGTGGTAGAGTGCTTGCCTGGCATGTACAAGGCCCTGAGTCTGATTCTCAAGACCACAAAAAAAATAAGGAATCTGTAGAAATAGTAAGGCTGGAGTCTAAGACTTTATCATCAGGATACCAAACAGAAAAATTGCATTATCTCTAACACAATAAAGTTCAAACATGGCCTTGAGCCAAAGCTCAACTATCACTGATGAGTGACAGTGGCCTTCCCTGGACATCTCCTAGTCAGGACGGACCACACGGCCCTGACACAGGCTGACCTACTTGGCACCAGCTGGCCTTTCCACAGAATGCTCCTGGACCCCATAACTACTAAAGACAACAGCGGAAAGGTACGTGGCCTTCAGGAAAGTCACGCTTTGAGATAGTTTGAACTAGACAGCTTGAACTAGGATTCTAACATTAAACATTTTCCTTTGAAGCAATTTTGCTTAGGGCATCATCTGATGGAATTTTATCTGATGCATTTTATGAACACATCTTTTTCTATCTACTTACCTGGAATGGTAAAGGATAATAACGCTAAATTATGAAATACAGGTTGAGCATTCCTTATGTGAAATTTTTAGGGCCTGGAAGTGTTCTGGGTTGGGGATTTTTTCAAATTTTAGGATACCTACATATACATGCTGCAGTACCGTGGGGAAAGGGTCAAGTCTAAACACGAAGTTCCTTATGTTCTGTATGCACTGTGTACATACATGCCATATAATTTTGCACAATATATTCAGTGAGCCTTGCATTTACA